TTCCAATTAATTTGTCGCATTTTATCTTACCAGACCTTCGCTTTTTATTATCTTTCTTTTTTTTTCTGGGGGGTCCAGGGGCACCCTCTTTGGGAAATACGCAAATCATTGTTTTATAGCAATTTAATTTTGTTTTCTGCTGCAATAAATAAGTAAAAAGGGCGTTGAAAAACAAGGAAAGCATAAGAAATCCAAATCAACTGAGAGCTTTGTTATTTATTTATAACAAATTGCCCGATTACGTTGCTGCTGTCCCGAATTGCTTATCAATATTTAAGGCTAGGACATTTGAGGGACACGACTCCTTTTGGGCCCTAGCAAAATTCCATTAGAAATGTGTCAAAAAAATGCCATAAAAAATGCAATAATGGTCAGATCCAAAGCAGCCATTGCACATGCAGCCCGGCCTGGAATCGAGTCAAGGGCTGGTCGGGTTTCGGAACCCCCATACCACTCGACATTTGCCAGCTGCAGTTGCCGGCTTAAATGTACGCCATAAAATGCCAAACAGACAATAGACCCTGAGGGGTGTGAGACAATGAGTACTGGTGATGGCGAGGAGTTCCAGAACTCCTTGCGGCTTTATTGCATGCAAATATACGGCACAACACCCAGACAGACAGCCAGTTGGCCGAGACACGTGAAATGATGTGCAAATCTTATTAACAATTGCTGCCAGGAGCAGGCCACAGAAGCAGATCCAGCCCAATGGATAGGATACCACTTTGGCTGGTTTGCCTTCGGTCTGGCCAAGTCCTTTGGCTTCTTTGCCTCCTGCTCCTGTTTTTCAGTTGCATTTGTGTTGAGTGCAGCTTTGTTGCTGGGAGACTCTTTTGGGGGTTTTTTCCGGTTAACAAGAGCTGGGAAGCATTGTGGTCTGTAGGATATAGGAATTGGGTGGGGACTCGTTAAAGCTATGGTTAAAGCTGTCCAGGGAGCCTACGAATTGCAGGTTAGCATAGGCAATCAAGACAAACTATAGGTGTGGTGTGAAGGTGTTTTAAGGTATGTGAATATTTGATTTATAGGAGCATAAAGAGAAGATATTTTCATAATTTTATTTTTGATTTTAAAAATAATTTAATATGACTTTCTTGTGATGCCGCACTACAAGTAAAAGAGAAAAGAAGAAAATAACCTTTTCAAGTTCTTTAACTTTCTTCAGCTTTCATTATTATGCTTTAGCTTTTGACAAGCGGACTGAAGTTATTTGTATTTTTTATGCCAACTTAGAAGAAAAGGTCTCAATCAGCTTTACAAATTTTAAGAACTTTATATATATATTATATATTTATATATATATATCATATTTAATTAATATTTAATCACGGTAAATGTTTCATGAATTTTTAAAATACGTTTAGTCAGTCAAGAATTAAGCGATTATCGTAAGGCATTTAATCACTTGTATGGAGAATCATAAAGGAGAACTTAAGAATAATAGCCAAAATCTTTTTAACAAGAGCCTAAATCCAAGAAAAATTTCTTTATATTTAATTATCTCCCAAAAAAACTTTAATATTCTTTCCTTTGTAACGACTCTCTCTCTTTAATTTATTCAGCATCTACAAATATTTGCCCTAAGCTCGCTTAAATTTGCATGACATCATCCCTCCTCCCCAGAAATCCCTAGTTTTATGTCTTGGCATAAGTCTCCGCCCGCAACAATTATGTATGCCAAGTGTTCGGCGGGGTTTTTCCATTAAAATCAACTAATAAATATCCAGAGCGGACCGACAACCTAAAGCCGAGGAGAGTGGACCCACAGAAGTCTCCGGCGGATATTAAACACTTAAATGCTGGCATAATTTTTACGCCAAGCGGTGCCAAGAAGCGGCTAAGTATTTAATTTAATGCGGCACACCTTTCTGTTCACCCCGGGCCAACCAGAAGCTAAAACAAATAAATTGAGCCAGGGTTTTTTTTGGAGGGGGAGGACCGACAGTTGGATAGACAGACAGTCAGGAGGGGGATTCCCCTTTCCACATAGTGGCGGAAAATTAAAGATTAAACGCTGGCAAAAATATTCTCGGGGTCAGTCTGGTGGGATCCGAAAACAATGTCTGACTAGACAGGCAGACAGATGGTGGCTGGAATGGGGGACCAAGTCAAACAAAAGCCAAATGAAACGCTGGCATGCTCCCCACTCGATTCCCGATTCCGTATCTCAGGAATGAAGCAGTCAAAAGGTCCAAATACAACTACCAATTTATGCGCATTATTAAAGTAAACGCATGATATGCCCGGAATGCTAGCTCCCCAGAAAAAGGCGACTCCGCATGGACGGCTTCCCCAAATAATCCCCTTTTTCTCCATCCTTTAGTGGTTCCCGGAATTGCTACTGGGCACGTTTGTAGGTGTCCAAAATGGACATTTATTTATTTAGATTTTAGTTGAAGACAACATGGGAGGAATTACGTTGGGGTCTGGCTGTTTGGCTTTGGCATCTTATTGGTGTTATTAAATCAAGTGGGCTGGGATGGAGTAAAAAAGTATAGGGGCGAGATGGGATGAGCTGAATGGGAATTTGCTAGCTTGGAAATATAATATAGTAAATGTTGAAAAACAGGAAACGTAGTATAAAGATTTTTATAATCCTCTAAATATAGTTAAAGTAGATTCAGTTTTTATATTTTTTAGGAAAATATTGTATAGTTATAAAAGTAGTTGTAGTTTAAAAATTAAAAAATAGAAAATTATTCCTTTTTTTTATGAAAATATAGGTACAATTTAGAAATTTTCTGAATATTTTTATGTTTTACGAACTTAAAGCCTAGTCTTACATCAATTTTTAATTTTCCAGGCCCATCGATTTTGCATTTTATTATGCGCAAGGTTTCTTTACCCACCGAATTGAATCGTTAACCAGGAAGCCATTTGACCGCCGCTGCTTCATTAATTCCAACATTTTGTGGCAATAAAAGGGATTTATGTACACCACCAATAGCAGGAATTATAAGTTTTTAATACGCCCCCGTCCACGCAAACCCCCTGTAATGAGTCCTTGGTGCAGTGCGTCGCATTATGAACGCGCCATTTGAAAGAGACCAGGAATGGCCAACTTGGGGCAAGATGGCCAACACAATAGGCATAAAAATCAATTATGAACCATTAGCCGGGCCGAGAAGAAGAAGAGGCTGTTTGGTAAGAGAGGGTCGAACAAAAGGCCAGACCAAGAGCAGAGGTCATAAATCATCTGGGCAGGCTGTTGCTCCGTGGGTTCCTCGGGGAGGTTCCGCCTCCTCTCTCCAGTTGTTCACGCATTAAATATTTATTTAGAAAGATTTTAATGGAGCCAAATAAGTTAAGTGTACGTAACAGTCCATGGTCGAGACAGAAGGTGGCCCGAACACGTGTTCTCTAGAGCTCTAGAGGAGACGGCATTGTGGCCCAGGAAATGGTAAGGACATCGCAGGAGGGGCAGGACCTTCGCAGTGAGTCAGTCAGGCAGGCACACTTTACGCTTGTGCTTTATGTATTTGACAGCTGGAGGCACTGGGACTAGAAAAACACGAGAGCGAGACAAAGTCCTTACAGAGCCCCAGACAAATTCATTTCATTCGTGCGGAAATTAAATGCATATTTGACCTATTTAAATTTTGAGACCGAGTGTCGAGCCGGAAACAAGTCTGACTGAAATTTAATTTATTGTGAACGATTTTTCAAATCGTTGAACTGGCAGTACAGTCAACCGATGTTGGACAGCAGCAACAGATGATGTCAGAGTTGAGATGACAGGATGGTAGCTGTTCATTTGCATATCAAATGATAAATGTTAAATAAACTGAAAGCCATTGATACTCGGGCTTTGTGTGGTACATTAAACTTGTCTTTTTGGAGTCAAATTTAAGAAGACCGTTGAATAAATGCTTACAAATTATGAATATTATAAGATACTTATTTTGTTTGGCTCTTTGTGCAAAGAAATAATGCCTGTTTTTCGACTTTAAGGTTCTGGATTATTTTTAATATTAAATACATATAGTAAATCTTTTATATGTAACCTTTTCCCTTCCATTACTTCCACCTCAGCCATTCATTTTAATTTTATATGTCCTCATCCTGGTAACATTACCCATTTAATTGGCCCGTCCCCGACCGACAATACCGGCCATTGTCTGCACACCTGATCCCTGTCACCACCGAACCCCCAAATTACCACAAGTTGCTCATTAACCATAAAAGTAGTCACATCCAGAACCAAGTGGCAATTAAATGGCCGAAACACAACATAATCAGTCATAAAAGTCTTGGGGGACGAAAAGCAACGTGAGCAGAAAGTAAAATAGGTGGCACGGAGACACCTCCAATGCCCGATTCAGGTTCAGATCCTGCTGTCCCACACCACAGGACACGAAAGTGTCACATGACCAAATAAGAATGTTCGACATTTAACCGGGAACAACTTTTATGATGGCTAATTAAGCCTAACGAGCCGAGATCCATGCAAAGAGCCCCGAATAGGCAAGCAAAATTCCTTCCAATTAGCAGGGAATTTTCTTTTGTGACTGCTTTCCGTTGGAACACAAATTTAAGTTGGAAATTAGGAAGTTTTCCCCCATCAGACAGTTGCGCATTTTCCCGGGGATTTTTTGGGCAAAGCCTCAACAATGATGAGCCTCATCTGCATTCACTGCCAAAACTTATTGCAGCCGGCAGGCAAATGCCAAAATCCATACCGAAAATATGGTTGCAGCAGACGGAAAATTGCAAATTGCATGTCAAGAATTGTCAGAGTCGCAACTCTATCCACATAAAATTGTTGATAAATAACCAACGGATTCGAGAACTATGTGATGCCAAGTCTGTGTAGCTTTCAAATTGCTTCAAACTGTTTGACTTAATGGCCGTCTCTCAGATTGGCAGCAAACAGACGTCTAGAGAGATATTCATATAATAGTAGCAGAGGGAAAGAGAAATGCAGTAGAAGGCTAAAAGAAAACGCATTACAAGCAACTCGACGGGAAGTTCTTTCTTTCAAACTGAAATTATGCGTTTGCACAACGAATCAAAAGTTAACGTCAGCCGGCAATTGGTTATGGAGAAGGCCGACTTTTGAACACCCTTTCTACGGGCTAGTTTAAAACTCCGAATGGGAATCGTCCCATTTGTCCCAATTGTCAATATCCTCCTCAAATTCCTCTTCTTCCTCTTCATCCTCTTCGTCGACACCATACTCCCTTTTCTTCCGATTTGGGGGTCTGTGTACCCGACAAGTGCTCAGACACTCTTCTTTTGTATAGAACCGATTCGGATTACCACCACAGCCCCCATAATAGAAGAAAATACAGCGATTGGTTAGGTAATCGTAGCCCCAGACTTTGATCCAGTCATCACAGGGTCCAGGATTCGCGACATACCAGCATTTTGCTATCGACAATATTTATAAAAATTTCAATATGTAATTTGAATACTCTTGAAACTTACGTTCCTTAATTGTGACTCCATGAGGAATAACCGCTAACAGGGGTTGCACAAAAATCAGCAAGGAAAAGGGATAAATAAGATACATTACTAAAATACTAAAATACTACGTGAACTATAGAAATACACATTTATGACTTGAAATACTTTTTGCTTGATTAAGATTTCAATGCTTAAATAACAATCGAAATGTACAGAACTTTTTTAAATTGTATAATATTACACTTTTTAAAAAAATTAACTCCTGTTAAGACTTAAAAATGTATAATTAAAGAGGTAAAATTGTTTTATAAATATTATTCTTTCTTAAAACTCCAAAGTACCAAAAATATTCAAGGAATCAAACATTTTGGGAATTTCAATATACCCTTCTTGTTCATTGTTGAGTTTGTCTGAAAACCAAAGGATATGCCAGGAATGCAAGATTTTCCAACTTCTTCGCCTTTCTTTTTCCAGCCCACTCCCCCTTGCACTGTGAAAGTACTTCATCATTTTTATTGCCACGAGAGACTTGAGAGAAGAGCAAAGAACTTAAACATTTTTCCCTTTTTCTCGTATTTGACTAACGATTTGATGACGTTGATGGGTCTTTGAGATGCAATGTCGCGACTATGCAGACACCAATAGAAAACTGCAGATGCAGATGCACATTTCCGAGCTTTAAGCTCTAGCACCAGAACGGAAACGGAAATAAAAAACCATAATGTGTATTTACAAGCTTTGCAACTCTTGGCAGAACGACTTTCATTGCGCCCCTTCTTATCGCCTCGAAGAAATCGATTTAATTTAATTTGCAAAGCGATTTTCACTTAAAATGTGATTACGCAAATTTTCAATTTGAAAACGATAACGTAAATTGGCAGACACAATGTGGGGGAAATGTTTTCAGAAAGAGGGGAGTAGCCCAAAATTTCGTTGCCAGCCGAAAGGAAGCGATTTGAGAATTGTTATACCCAAGAATTTAGGGGTGGTGGTGGGGGAGATAAGTCAGCCGCTTTTTGTCTCGCGGGTATTAACTGTCTCTACGTAATTCTTTATTACACGATGAAGGTAATATTTTGCATGGGGTGGGAAAACATGAAGATCCTATCGAACTGCATTGAAATTTGAATTTCATGTTTACAGGTTTTTGTGTGAATCGCTTGAGATGTAGATAAAGCCATAGAAATTATTCTAAGGCACAGAGTGTGGAATACCTTAATCTTTTTGGCCTGTTAATAAAATATAAATCATCTTCGAAATGTGTTATATTGCATAAAAACATATGGTATTGTCTATTAGATGGTTTATTATGGTGTCCTGAAATAAATATTCATTTTAAATTTGAGTCCCAAAAATCAGCCAAGTCCACCTTTGTTACAGAAAAACCTAAACAGTTAACATTTGCCAGCGACCGCTGTACAATCATTTTCCATTCCAGCCCCAGGAGCCAGCTGAATTTTGCTGCTGTCCCGGCACTTAATTAAGTTTCAATATAGCTCGATACCGTGTGCTATCCTCAAAATCATCGAACAGCAACCACAGCAAAGCTCAGTGCGAACCACCAAAGTGGTTTTGTTGGTCCACTACCCACACTTTGGCAATTCGATGTAAAATTCCGTCAGCAGTTGATTTCAGTTCGCTGATTATTGTCGCATTGACACCCCAAATTACACAATCCAATATACATACCCAACCAGAAAAACAACAACTATTGCGAATTGTAACCAATTTTCGGAAAGTGTTCACAGCATTTCTAAATTTAAATAGTTGCGAAGAGTGGGGAATTCCACGGAGGCGTAGGCAGAGGGAAAAACCCTCATCAACTTCCATTAGAATGTCAAAGTTCAGCGGATGTCGGAGGCTTTCGGTTAAACCGTGCGCAAAAGTGTCAAAATGTTTAACATATGCCCACATGAGACACTGCAGGACCAACGGAAGGCCGAGTGTCCTGGCCCAGTTGCTCCTGTGTTGCTATTTCGGTTTCGCCATTTGCAGTGACAGCGTTGATAACAATGACAATAACAAGCGTCCTGAGCCCAGGGACTTGTTGGCGTTGTGATTAGGAGGAGGGGCCCTCGAATCGGGAAGGTTATCCTCCCAGAGCTGTGTTTTGTCAGTAATCACACGAAATGGGCTGTTGACCCGTTAGTGGCTGCACTGATGTGGGCTTGGGACTGCATATGGGACCATGGGGGCGGTTGGATTTGATGGATGTCAAGGGGAAATACGAGACGAGCAACTTGAACGATTATAATCTGGGAATATGTTTAAACATATTATATATATGCAAACACTCAGAATATTTGTCTTGTGTTTAGATCTCAGCTGTGGTAACGGTTGATGTAGTTTAAATTATAGAAAGGAAGACCAGAATTTGATTGCTTCTTATGAGCTTTGCATTGATGATCAGATTAACCAAGAACGTATCCTTTTTATTTATTTTACTAAAAACAGTATGGAACGCATAACAATATTTTTATTGCTTCTTAATAGCTCTGCTTTTAGCCCGCAAAAAAAAGTTTTTCTTATTTATTTAACATTACTGAGTTTATTTTTGAGCACTTTGCACATAAAATGTTAAAGTATTTAAGCCCCACAGCAAATATAGTTGTAGAAAAATGGATTTTAAAAAAGTAGCAATATAAAAATATTGAAAGTGCAATCATTGTTCTGTTGTAACACTAGTGTTTGATATTATAATTTCAATTTATCACTGCAATTCTGAATACTCATAGTCTAAAAATACCAAATAAACTTAAAAATTATCTATATACCACCACCGCTCTCCCATTTTGAAGTTGCCAAAGCCATTAGCAATTACGTGAATTTATTCAAGGCCAGTCAAGCCCAGTTGAACACTCTGCTAATTGCAAAACACCCGAGAACTTGCACCGCCCTTTCCGGCAAATATTTTCATTAGCTGTCGGCCGCAACCCCTCGAAATTCTTAAAATTACATAAAATTTGAGCTTCACTTGGGCCTTAATGTTCGACTTAATTTAAACGAACGAGTTAACAAGCAAGCGCAAAAAATTTTGATTTATCGCTGGCAAAACTTTTTGGGCTTGATGAGCTTCGGCAAAAGTTTTTGGGGAATGGTTGGGTGTTTTCCAAACGTCTGCTGCACTTTGCTGCCGCCTTAGTTAGTTTCCTTTTTGCCGGCTTTTGGGGCTTTTCTTCTTGGCGCGTTTTTCGTTGGCTCAGAAGAGGGCTATGCAAAATCGCCCACTAAACTTTAATGGCCTGACATTGAGGCGCCGCCGTCGTCATGTCCGCCATTTGGGCGCCAGTTAGGAACCAGAAGTTTGCCACATGCAACCCGGAGTTGGAGTTTTGGATGGGCCGCTTTAATTGCTTGGCGTGCCATGTGAAAATGTTTGCAGGCCCGCACCTTTTTCTATGTATTTTTCCCCTTTTTGATTTTATGTGCACTTTTATGGGACACGAGCTAACAATTTGCAACAAAATTTCGAAAGCTCCATTTATATGGCCATCGGCTTGGGGTTGGTCAGTTTTCTAAAATGTTAGCGTTTGTTTTAATTTGTTTTCGGCTGTTACCTGATGAGAGCCAAAACTTTCGTCTAGACACGGCACTTGAACACGCGCTCTAAAAATACTTGAAGTGTGTAGCAATTAACAAAGGAATTTAGGGACAATAATAACTCATATTGCAAAGAAAAATAGATCTTAATTTGGCACCGAAAATGTATGAAAGGTGGGTGGATTTCGCACGAGCTATATCAATATGCAAAAGAGGTTCAACACAGCCGTGCACTAAGTGAATGTGAAGGCACGAGCTCGAAACGAGAGCCATAGAAGGGGAAAACCTAGGAAAAGCTGGAACTCGGGCTCAGGACACAAGTGGCTAGACGTGACTAGCTTACATTATATCTGGTCTGGCCGCAATAAATGCAAAATATATGTATGCATCAAGTGCAAAACACGCCGTCGGGGGGAAATACAAGTGCGGGTGACAGCTTAAAATGGAAAACGAACAAAATATTCAATCAGACAGAGAATTTGCGGGAAAAAGAAGATGCGAGAAAATGCGTGAGAAAAATCGCGAAATATTCTCAGGGGTAAGTGAACTGAATCTCCAACCAAAAATAGACATAAATAACTTTTGAGAATTGTAAATAAAATTTGTTTTATCAATATCCTGTACTTTAATATATATTTTTGAATACGTTGTTAGACATTCAAAATAAATATGCCTTATTAAATTTAGCATCCATTTTTCAATTCCTTTTTTTAGTGAAAGAAAACTAGATCAAAACCTTTAGTTTTAACTATAGTAACATTTTTTCGCTCATACTTTAATGAATGAAAAAGGACCTTAAAAAGGGCCTAAAGACTTGGCAGTCATTTTGAGCACTTTTTATATTCTTTTTGTCAGCAAAAATATAAAAAGTCCGCTCAATTTTAATGCATAATATTAATCTTATGCTTATTTCATTTGAATGCAGCCGAGAGGTAAAATGGTAAAGAAAAACGCTTGAGAAAAATCCATTTGTTGTGAGAAATTCAATTTATATTCGATTACGCGACGATGTCTAAGTAGAAAAATAGAGAATGGCTCAAGTGCTTGTGAGCGTTTTTTTCCTATTTTTGGCTTGGAGCGCACTGAGAATGCCCCGTCATGCGTTAAAATTGCAATTTCTTTGCCAGGCAAAGCAGGAAATGTTGAGAAAATTGATAAATGAAAAATATAAAGCCATACAGAAAATCAATCTTGAGCCCCAAAATCCCCGTGGCCTTTTGTCCGATCCCCTCTAATTGTAAAACACAGGGCACCAGCAAACATAACAATCATAGTCGATTGTTGGCAGTTAAATATTCATGAGCCGAGTGAGAAATAAAACTGAAAATAGATATCCCAAACACAGTCCTGGGAATGGGGCTAAAAACCAGAAGAAGTATACCATGGACATGAGCGCTGATTGCCCACATGACGTGCATAGGAAATGCCCAAAACTGCTAAGGGGTAAGCTCTATATACTGAATTCAATACTGTGTATTGGAAAACGATTTCCATTCAATGGCAGGCGGGCAGACAAAACAAAGACAGGCCCAGCACTTGCGAAAATTTCATTGCAAATGAAACGAAAAGCGTTTTATTTTGATTT